TGCCCCAACATGTGAGGCATATGTCAAATCATGTTTGAATAATGTGTTCCATATATTGTATTCTATCTTACATAGGCCTGTTTTGCTAACATAACTGGTCAAACCATTCTGGAAAGCAATTTGCAATCATGTAAGTTCCTAAAATGTTCAAAGCCTATGATCAACAGATTCCCCAAGTGAGTCTATTTCTCAAGGTAGTTATGACAGAAGGAAAAACCCAAATGTAGAAAAACATTCATAGCAACACTGTTTATGACAACAAAAAGCATGCCTGACAATTAGAAAAGGGCTAAATGATAAATGAATGCAGTGGAACATAACTGTGAAGGAAAGAATGACAGATAAGAAAAATTCAAATAAACATGGGAAGACTCATGTGAGATGATGCAGAATAAACAAAGAGCCAATTGAATACACATTGACTACAACAACTTAAGTAATAAGGCTCACATGGAGGTGACAAAATTTGGTAAAATACAACACTCAAATCCCACCTAAGAGACTTACTAGCTTGTGTGACCCTGAGGAAAAGCTTTCTGAGGCTGCTTCCTCATCTTTAAAATGAGGATAATAGTAGCTTCTACCTCCCAAGGTTTTTGTGGAAATCAAATGAGAATACATGTAAAGTACTTTGCAACCTTCAAAGTGCCATATAAATGCTAACCAGTACCAGTAGTAACAGTAGCAGTAGCAGCAGCACCACCATGCCATGAAAGTTAAAAGGATAAAATTCCTACTTTCTATTACTGATAAACCAGGGAGAAGAGGGGTAGGTTTGGGTGTCTACTGAAAGTATGTTATATTGAAACAAAATCAAATTTTTGTTACCTTTGTTATCTAACAATCAGAACTATTGGAAGTAGGATAGACTACCTTAGGATGCAACAGGAAGACTTCCTTGAAGACCATCCTTTATGTGAAGGATAACCATTTTCCTGAGATATTGTGGAAGGTCCAAATCAGATTTTAATACTGTACATTATTCCCTTTTATACGCTCTATATTCCAACCAAATTAGATTAACTGATGCTTTATCTTTTCCTATTACTCTTCAATCCCCATGGAAATAGTACTTTCCCTCCCACCACTGTATCATTTAAATAACTTTCCCTTCATGCACCGAGGCTTAATTTAGGTTCCATCTCTTCCATGAAGGTTTACTTGATTTTCCCCAGATGTATGTTCTTTTCCCTCAAGTTTTCACAAAGCATGCAGTATTGGTCCTCTCCTTTCTCTTTATCCTTTTAACCCTGTATGATATATTTGAGAATGTCTAAATATATTTTCCAATTGACTGGTAAGTTCCTTCAAACAAGGATTACCATTTTTCTTCTTTGCATCATCACTGCCTATATCACAGGGCTTTGTAGAGTCAATATTTGCTTAACTGAATTTATCTATATCACCTTAAAAAACTGAAACTTTTGCCTCACTCACTTCCCCACAGCACAAGTTATGCACAACAAATATTTCTTCTTTATAAACCACTTTAAGACACTCTTCCAAAAGAATAATTCTAGACCAATTAACTTCAGACTGCTTTTTGGCATTTAATATGACAATGTGAGAAAAAATAGTGAGACATCTTCTGTTTTTCTTAAACAATTACATGTTAACCCTTTCAAACTAGGCACCTCAGAATCTATGCCAAAATTTCCAGCATTAATTGGAATTGTTCTTTTAGAACAGTCAAGTTAAATAAAACTATGCAAAGAGTAAATTTTACGAGAGTACTACTCTAGTGAACCCATTATTCTTGGGATGTTTTTAAATTCCTAAAATAAAATGTGTAAGATTACAAATGAAATAAATTATATAGAAATAGTTAATCAAATTATTCAAAGTAAGTCCATGGACCCCAGATTAAGAATTCCTGCTGTATTTATGAAGTTAAAAGCTTAGTTCCTGAGTAAAATTTTATTCTTGCAGAAAAACTCTGAACCATGGGAAATGGTACAGCCTGATAATTGGCATAAAATACATAAATAATGCATATTAGAGAATTTTGCTAAAGTGAATGTGCCTGTCTCCTTTTTTCAGTCAAGTTAGGGTACTACAGATAGAGAGTATTGCACAGATACAAATTTTACTAATTATTTTCTTTTGGTAAAAGGAAAGAATGGGAATAAGAAGTGGGTATGTAATATGGGGGTGATCAAGTAAATATTGAAAAATAAGTGATATAAAAACTAGATAAAGAGGAACTACACAATTTTAATAAGTGGGCAATGCATACATTGAGGTTCCTTGTACCTGTAATTATCTTTTGATGAATTAGTAGAACCTGTCCTCTGATAGTCTAGGACACATGAATGTAATATGAAATAATGAAAAGGAATTCAAAGAAATTCAGGAAGACTTATTAACCGATAGTAAAGTGAATGGCTTATAAGTCATATAATTGGCAACATGGAAGATTAGTCCCTCCAAAACAGTCCAGCTCCCTAAACTACACCCTCCCACCCCGAAAGGGATTATGCACCAGATACAGAGTAATCACAACTAAATCACAGAAGGCAAAATTCTTTATAAAGTAAGAATGAAAAACCTTATTACTTAAAACATGCCTTCAACACCCTCCATGCTCAGGCTAAAAGCCAATACTAGGCTTCCTAGAAAGTTCAGTCCTAAAGCACACAGATCTAAGCTGCTCTAAGAGCTTCCAAAACTGCCCCTACTGGGTAACTGAAAAGGGAATAGAGAGAGGAACCAAAATAAAGCGAATATTCATGAAAATATCATGGAGGAATCAGTGCTGTCCCCTTATAGGTTACTCTAGGAAGGACCTAAAGCTGAGGCAGCCTAGGGGCCTGGTGTTTTAGAGATCTGCTTATGAGCAATGGCAGAGGGACAACTGAGAGTGAGTGGAGAAAGAAAGGGGATAGAGGGCCACCAAAATAAAATGCCTAAATAAAGGCCCAGCGCACATGCAGATAAACCAACAGAGAAGATTCTAAAATCATCAAGAATTTGTCTCAAGGAAAAGACAAAGCTCTCCTGAAAAATATTATAATATGAAAGTAAATGAATCAATAGAGCCTGATGAAAGAGAGAAACTTGTTGACTACTCTCAGGACATGGAAATAACAAGAAACTCTATACTGCTTCAAAAGATAAATTCCATAAATGAAAAACTTAGCAATAAACAGAGGTTAGAAACTGGAGCTGTTGGAGTCCAATTAAAAAACATTATTAGTAGATGATAAAATATTGACCACATGATTGATACCTATGAAGTGAAAAAAATACTGACAGATTTGGAACACAAAAATATTCAGGCAGAAACAAACATGTAAAAGAGAAGGAAAAGGCCACACACAAAGTAAAAAATTAAAAAGTCAATTTTAGAGTAAGTTAATTACACGATGACAACAGCGTAAAAGGGAAGAACAAAAATAGAAACTTGTTATTGGGTAGTTACAATGACAAAGTTTAGCCCTGGGGGAAAAAGTGAGAAAAGGCACCTCTCAACTCTTCTTTGCAGAGGTACAGAGGTATGGGAATGGAATATCATACACAATATTACACCGTTAATGTGGTGGTTGATTCTGTTGAAGTGGCTTTGCTCTCTTCCTTTTAAAAAAAAAATTCTTTTTTGCTCACTGGGAGTTTGCCTCTCATTACCACCACTGCCATTAAGGTCAGGTCACAAATCAACATTTCCCTCTTTTTCAGAAATCCTCTGCTGCTTCTTTAGTTGCTATGAGAGTTCAGAAACCTGGTTCTTCAGAATGGAAATACAGCAATTCTCTTCTCAAATTAGCCACTAATAAGAATTCTTACGCAACCAACAAAATACTGGTACTTGCAAGAAAGAAAGAATGTGTTAGACATAGTTGGGGATAGGTCAGTGGGGGCGTAGTGTTCTTACTTTTCAGGTCAAATGAACAAATTCAATCATAAACTAGTTTTCTCTCACTTTACGTAAGTTCATTTTTACATTTATCTTCAGAAATACTCCAGAATCTACGTAGGAAAGCAGTGTCAATGAGCCAAAAAGACAAGAACCCTCAGTTCTTTCTTTAAGTTGTCTCTCTCTCACACACACACACACACACACACACACACACACACACACACACACACACACACACACACACACAATCTCCTTAGATCTCAGTATCCCTAATAAGATAGCATCTCTGACCTCATTCATCAAATCTTAAAATTGTGAATTCTAATTTAAGAAAATGAGGCGTAAACAATCATTGAACTGAAAATAGCTAAGAAATAAAGATTTGATCAGATTATTGCAGATAAACAGAATGCAAGGCCTTACTTAACAAGTTTCCATTAATGGAGGTGAAGTATTAATGGAAACTTGTTGAAGAATATAACCTATAGCCCATGAAATGATGGATCTATCATTTGACCACCAGACCTATTAGAATAGTAGACAAGCCCCTCTGGCATTTCATTTGCACATAATGCTCAAACTGAAAAACCGTCAAAATCTAAATAAAGGTAAATCTTACCATAAAGGAATAACTCAAACAAACAGAAAAAGTAGTTCCTAATTATCAAGAATGTTCATTTGGAGCCATTCCCAAGGAAAAAGACAACTAGTGGTATGGAATATGTTTAAAATGACAATTAAGAAGAATGAAAAATAAATAACAATCCACAAATGACAAACATTTTTCAAAGCTGAATACTGATCAAATATTTAAGCCTGAAAGAGAATCTGATATCAAAGGAAAAGACAAGAGCTACAAATATAAGATACTTATTTTTTTAAGTTAGGGCATTAAACAATTCTCTCCTATATTTATTTCAGATATAAAAACTAAATATCTAAGCTGGTGAAGAATTATCTACAGCTCAATTATTTCTAAATAACAGTTTTATCTGTACAATGAAGCAAAGGAATTGGAGTGGCAAAAAAAAAACACTATGAAACTTAGACCTAAATTATGCAAGTTTTTGCCTTCACAAATAGCTTTCAGCACTACTCTGCAGATATACTCAAAAACTACTTCAAACATTTGATAAACACATACCTTCCTCCTATGGAGTCGTCTTGTGGTTGGGCCCCGGCAGTGTTCCTCTGTGAACGTCGCAGTGACCCCCCTGGATTGTTATTAGGCCGGTTGGACATTGGCACCTCTCTCCTGAAGGGACATACCCTTTCTAGACACTACCATTCACTGAAAAAGAGAAAGATCAAATTTCACCAAATGCAGGTGATAACATATACAAGATTTTCTAAAGCTCTGGGAGAATGACAGTGCTATAATTAAACAGTTACTCATTTCAAATCTAGCTGCAGACACTACTTGTGACACCTTGGGCAAATGACTCAACCTGACTGCCTCGATTTCCTCAACTTTAAAATGGAGATCGTAAGTGTCATCCTCTCACAAGGTTACCTTAAGGATCAAAAGAAGTATTTGTAAAAGCACTTAGTACAGCGCCTAGCACATAGTAGGTGCTTAATAAATGCTTGTTCCTTTCTCCCTTCTCTTGTTTGATGGGTTTAAAATGATGAAAGTTCCATATTTATTCAATTTCTAAAAAAAGAACTATACTTCACTCTACATTTACAACCAATTGTATGCAATATGTATATAGTTATCTGACAGTAATCTGTGGCTAGGAAGCCACATTTATTCAACCTAAATATAATATTTCCTAAATTTAGGAAGTCCTTCAACCTACAGCATAAGGTAGGCAAATCCTAGGCAGTTACCCAATGCACTGAGAAGTTAAGTTATTTGCACTGTGGTCCTACTCAGTGTTTGAGGCCAGATTAAACACAGGTCTTACTTCAAGCCAATAGTACTTAATATTTTACCATGCTGCCTTTAAAATTACCCAAAAAAAAATTAGGGGGGGGATAGGGGTGGGAGGGAGAGAGGATTGTACCTGCAGATAAAGATTCTAAAATGTAACCTGGTAAACCCATACCTCCAATTCAGAGAAACAGTTTAAAAAAGAAGTCTTTTTAAAAACTTAAATCACTTTAGTGTAGAATTCAGTATAATATCTACTAGCAACCTATTCAACATGGTTTATTAGAAACACTACTTAAATGGTTTTGCTTCTAATAGGGCACAAATTTTTAAGAGTATTATTTTTATTTAAATATATAAATACAGCATGAGTATGATTACTATAATTTTTCAAGCAAAAGGAAGAATACTCTCATCAGAAGTAGGGTCAGTAGTTCTGAACTATCCATTTCCTGTTACTAAATGACAACTTGAGTACTGAAACAACACTGAGAACAAGTTAACTTTGACATCAAATACATATGTAACCCTGACACCATTCTAAGGAGCTGAAGTATTTTCTGTAACCTGTCGCTTGTGCAGCTGTTACCTAGGCCCACTGGCAACTACTTTCATCCATCAGCAGCTGCCTACAATGGAGTCCAGCTGTCAGGTGAACTTCTGTACTGGAGACTGTTTAAGAAAACAATTTTTAAAGCTCAACAGAAAATCAAAAAGCAGAATTACAACAACTGAGTTTTGGAGAGGGCAAGGAGGAATTAGAATCACAGAATTTCAATCTCAAAGTATTTATGAAACACCTATGGTGCCAAGCATTATGTTACGGATTGGGTATACCAAGACAAAAAGTCAGCATTCAATAACAGCAAGTATGTACGTACAAAAACAAATATTTATGTTTCACTCCTATCTAAGCCTACTTTTTATTACCCTGCATCCCTCATCTCTCTCCTCTCACTCATTTCTTAACCCTTCCCAATATGTCTTTTGACCTAACCACTAAACTAGAACTATTTCCTCCAAAACTGCCAATCTCTTACTAATCTCTTAACTGTAAAATTGGATCCTTTTCTCATCCCTCATCCTTCTTGATCTTTGCAGCATTTGATCCTACTCAGTAATCTCTCATCTCAGGTACTCTTCTCTCTTAAGGGTAAAACCTGCCCTATGGAACCAAGTAGAGGCAATCCCTGATACATGTTATCTCCTACTTCTGAATCCAAGACCTACTATCTACTGTCACTTAATCTCTCTGGGCCTCAGTTTCCTCATCTGTGAAATGGAAGAGCTTAAGTTAGCTGACCTTTAAGGTCCCTTGCAACTCTAAATCAATTATCTTGTGATGATCCTAAAAATCAGGTTAGGATTAAATCTAACAGAGAAGCAAAGATTACTAAGCAATCAACATTCTCACTTTTACAGATCAAAAAAAATGGGGAAAAGGAGGAAGAGGATTTCCCATGAACATAAAGAAAAAATCATGGCATCATTAAAAGATATAGCTTCAATATCATTAACCTAACCTTTCTGTGGCTATTGATATGTTTAGGTATTATTCATTTGATAATCTAGCAGTAATGTCAAAAATAATTAACTAATATACTGTACACTTAAATCAGAATTTAGCACTCAACTTCTGTCAAACACATTTCACTTTCACATGACACATATTAAACACTTAAAGAGTTCTGGATGAGCCATTGGTCTTTTAAGCACCCAAGAGTGCTAACACTTATTTCCTGGCATGATGTGAACAAAATGCCAATATTCATCTCCAAATACTGCAATATTTCCTATAAGACCTTAGAAATTACCTAGAAATTTAATCCAGCACAATTTCATTAAACACACTGATTTTGTGTGTTCAAGCCACCCAAATGCCACTGAATGCAATTCTGGGTCTGGCTATATCAGAACGTGTGTGTGTGTGTGTGTGTGTGTGTGTGTGTGTGTGTGTGTGTGTGTGTACACGCATGCATGCACATACATACACACATACAAATGCCTAGCATAGTGCTTTGCAAACAGTAGGAATGTAATAAATGCTTATTCAATTTGGAGTTTAAGAATATCAAAGAACTATACCACTAATATGATGAGCAGCTGGGTAGCACAAGTGGATAAAGTGCTAGCCCTGGAGTTGGGAAGACCGGAGATCAAATATGAACTTAGATTACTAGCTATGTAACCCTAGGCAAATCACTTAACCTTTGTTTACTTCAGTTTCCTCAACTGTAAAATACCTAAAATTCAGAGTTGGTATGAAGATCAAATGAAATAATATTTGTAAAGCAATTAATACAGTGCCTGGCACATAATACAACTCCCCTTCCCCCCATTAGTGGATGATATAAGAACATATTTTTTACTTAAAATACAAAAAAAAAATACTTTAAATACGCAGATGAATTCAGATACACAGGAAGCACTTTGGTTTATTTGCAATGTCCATTATCCACTAAGACCACTGTTTCTCTCTTTACTTCCTCACCCTTCTTGTCAGAGAGAAGCAACCATTCCCCTTGAGCCTGACTCCCAATGAATACCTTCACGCAGAGGCAGGGATTATTCACATTAAATTGTCCCTGACATATGATTTAGGGTTATCTATGCCCCGATAAGATTGCCTTCTATTTATTAATAATACTAATAACTAGTATTCATACAGCACTTTAAGGTCTACAAAGCACTTGGTATTTGTATATGCATATCTATATACTTGTATGTTGTCTCTCTTATTATAATATACATTTTTTTAAGGCAGGGGATCTTTTCTTCCCCTTCTAGGTATCCTAAGCTTGAAGACAGTGCTTGGCACATAGGCAGAATAAATGTTTTTTGTACAAATATCATTAATGACTTTTTTTAAATGTACACTTAACCTACTAGTAATGGTTTATTTCCAGTACAAACTCTGTGAATAATGACATCGACCCAAAGTAGTACTCTCTTTTGGAAGGGAGGAAGAGAGAGAGGAAGGGAGAGAGGAAGGGAGGGAGGGAGAGCAGGAGGCAGAAAGGAAAGAAGGAAGGGAGATAGAGAGAAGACAGCATTTATATAGCATTTTAAGGTTTGCAAGTACAGTATCTGTATTATGTCATTTGTTTTCATTATTGAGTCCTAATATTTTAATGTTTGGTGACTAAATTATTTTTAGTCATTTATATTCCTTGACAGATTGAAGGTCATCAACTTGCAACTTATATTAACTTAGGAACCATTTTTAGTGTATGTCACAATGCCTCCCCATCACCATGCAATATAGGTAGGATCCTCCTTTTTGCCTATAAAGTAGCCATAAGAGCAACACCTTTATTCTAGTAACACAACAACAACAAAACAAGGTTATGTTGGCATACCAACTCTACAAGTGTGTCGACATCGAATCCCTTCATCTGTCTAGACCAAAGAATTATAGGACTATCCTCATACAACCAATCACCTCTTCAGGATTTTAAATCACTTTTTCACTGAGTTCTAGTTCTGCTAAAAATTTTGTAAAATGAACTAGCAAAAATATAGAGGCATTGCAAGTTATATATATATTATATATATATATATTATGTATATATATATATATATAATAAATATAAGCATAAAATAACACTTTTCTAGGTTCTGCCTAACACATTCTTCTAAAGAATACCCAGAAATTTACTTTTCTTTTTGCCTACAGCAGCAAATCACTGTGGACTGATGCTTTCATTCTAGAAACAGTTCATAACTCAATTCAGCAAGGACTTATTAAGTACTATTAAGTAACAATGTAGTTGTGATACCATTACATGCAAGTAAACAGAATTTAAGTGAGGGAGGGTTATGCAAAGTCATCTGCCTTACTTTCTCCTCCAGAGGCATCCAGGTCCAGTGTGGCAAGATATAGATCAGGACTACTGGAGATGGCCCTAGATGCAATGGGAGACCATGGCCTTTTTAAGCCAAGGTCTTTAACAGGTCTCAGCTTGACTGAGGCAATGTCCAATCAGTGATTAAGGTTAGGTAAGAAATGAGGCAGAGAATGGCTCCTTTCAACTAGTCAAAAAAAAAAAAAGAATCCGAGATAGTGACAGTGTACAAAATAGTCTTTCCCTTGGGGGGGGGGGGGAACGCCCCTGCAGTATTAATCACAGATTAATACCAATATATTCCAAGAGATATACATAGCAAATACATAGTCATTTCAAGAATGGGGGACTAATATGAGTTCCTGAAAGATTTCCAGGAGAACATGGGTTGCAATGAGATAGAGGTAGAACATTGTGGGCACCAGGCACAGAAGGTAGAGATGGAATGCATGCCCTGGACTCAAAATATCAAGTTAACTATAAACTTTTGTCAGTGAGGTGTAGTCAGCCTGAAAGGGTGAATTGGAACAAGACTGTGAAGACTTAAATGACAAGAAGGAGTTAGGATTT